TCCTTTAAATCAGAGCTAGATAAGATTTTAACAACTCTGAGCTATTAGTTAAGTTCTCCCCAAGCGAGCTCGATGGGCCGAATGGTCTCCTCTCGTTTGTATAGTTCTTATGTTCTTATTTCAGGGGCAGACACCACTGCATTTTGCATTGCAGTACACTTAGCACAGGCTACATAAACAGCATATTTTTAATCAGCAGATACTGAAAAATGTTAAATAAAACATTCAACTGTGTCATTGTTAAATGGCACTCCGATGAAGTAATAAGTCGATACAAAGTTGATAGAAATATTGATAGAAAGTTTGTAGCACAATGAATCGCAATTTAATGGTTAATTGCAGTATTTGATAATCTAGTTTGATCACCTATCTGTGTAGACATTAGTGTCTTTCACATACAATGGAAAGTCACAGATTTGCATTAATTTTCAATATTGAGTACCCTGTATTGATGTTACTATATAAACTTCATAATATAGCTTATTCAAATGAAGCATAAAAGCTATTCCTCCCCTGTAGTGTCTATTTGTGTCAAGATACAGTTCATGTTTGGGCATCTTCTCATTACACAAATGAAGATACATTCTTTTACTACATTGGCTGGTTGAAACTATAAAATATAGAAAGATGTATAAGCACATAAACAAATATCAGTCGTGCTTCCTGTGAAAGGATTGATGGAGGTCAGACTTGTATCCTTGCAAAGCAAAGCATCTGAAGTTAATGACACCTTTCCCATTGTCCCATTTCACGCATGGTCTGCGTCGTTCCGCTGACCCTTGTCTCACAGTGTGTGGCGGTACTTCGTCACAGACTAAAACAGGCCAGACTGGGACACCTGTTAGAAGTTCCATGACGTTTTCCAGATCTGGTGGACACCATACGCACCTCTAGGCTGTGAAATCACATTATTCCGCCATATGTATGCAATGACAGACAGAATGAAGGCCTCCAATCTTAATTAACGTTTCTGATGTGGGGAGTGCTATCTGTGTGTGTGTGTGTGTATGTGTGTAGATTAGGTTTGTATTACATTGTGGGGACCAAATGTCCTCCACAATGTAATAAAAACCTGTTATTTTGATGCTGTCAGGACCATTTTTCAGGTCCCTACAAAGATCTGTGAAAGCAAGCAAAAAACTAAAAATGCCGAAAGTCTCATATTTTGTTTGGTTCTTATGATTAAGCTTAGGGCTGGGTAGGGGTTAAGGTTGTCATGTTGGGATTTGAGTTTTCCCCATAGAAATTAATGGAGAGTCCCCACAAAGATATAATTATAAACCTGTGTGTGTGTGTGAAAGAGAGAGAGTCTATCTGTCTAGATGTAGGGGAGTCTTGTAATCAGCCGCCCCTTATTTGATTAGCCAGACCTCCACTTGACAAAGCAGTCTGGGATGTAATTAACTGTAGGAGGAAAACGATGAGAAGGGGGTGACTTTTCTCCGACTCAGCAGAAGCGCCAACTCAGGTGAATGGAGAGCCATGGATGCAGATTCTTGTGAGGGTATCGGTGCAGCTGGGTTACTAAGCATTAGAAAGCAGGTCCGTCCTTATAATCCTCTGTAGTGTTCTGTCTGTTATAAATGTGCATTTTTATGACAAGTTTATAGTGCTTTACCTATCGGGCACTGATGTTTGCAGCTGGATTTGGTTACTGTTCTAATGCATTTGTAAGGCTTATAAGAAAAGCGTCCTTGACATCCTGCAGCAATATTACCGTGCAACGATGACTACCATGCAGCAGGTCTGGTGACCTGGGCAAGATGTTTGGTTCACCATTTTTGGGAGGTGATTGTTGAACGTCACTGGTTCCTGTGTCGTGCTCGCCTCAGCCATTCCAGGAGAGCTCTCTATCCTCTCCGAAGCATTCCTTGCCCCTCTGCCCCCCCTGCGCTCGCTGTCACCCTCAACAACCACTCCATTCATGAACCATGGCTTGTGGTATTTGGGCCGTGGCACGATCCACTCTCCCCCTCCCACCCCCAGAAGCAAAAACGCAGCAAAAAAGATAATGAATGTTTTGCATCTGTTAACATCCTGGATCCAACATGCCGACTGCCAGTGCCAGTTCATACAGATCTCTGCTTCTAGTAAAACATGAAAAGAACAGAGCTAGAAACATAGTCTGTGCTTTGGTTCTCTCATTAAAGGCAATGTCAGCCAGTTAATTGCCTTGAAATATTTACTAATCAGGTAAAATATGACACAATCAGTAAACAGAATGCTTTTGTTATGTTTTAGTTCAAGCTAAACAAACGTTTGGGTTGGTTATAGTTGCATTTTAAGGTTTCCTGCTGATGTAATATAGCAACCCTATTTAGCTAGTATCTTAGCTATAATGAAAAGCCTTAAATATCCTTATAATACTTTAAGGAAAAGCCAATAACCATTCATGTTTTCCTCAAGGCAACCGAGTGTGACGGCAGCAGCTTCATATTTGGCAGCTCTGTTTACTAATCTGTCTCGCTCCTTCATGGGAGATGAGTCACATCGCGTTGCACTAATCCCTGCCTGTTAGCAAGGTGCGATCACACTTGTGATCACATGACTAAAAGTCCCCATGAATCGGTGATGATTTTTGCTAAGATCCTGACGATGGATTTTGAAATACAATGCTGAAATAGCAGTTAGACATCTGTTATACACCAGACCTACACTGTATTTTCAAAAACCAAAATGAGAGGGTAGAATAACTAAAAAAAACAACAGGAGTCTGATCTTTTGCTCTTGTGAAATTTTTTCCAAGGGAGACTCTAGAGATGTTGCTACCCATGTGTAGAAATTGTGTTTCTTTTGAGTTTAGGAATAAGGTCCCCATTTCTGTGTGGGTCATTAATAATGATTTTTCACACCAGATCTGTTCAGAGTGACCGGTTTAGGAGACTGACGAGGGATACAGGTCTGGTGTCGAGTAAATCTGTGAAAGAGCTGCACATCTAAATGGCTGAGAATGGAAATGTGTCATCAGACAACAGTAAACAGGAAACTTTGCAACAATAGCCTCTATTGGCATGGGAAGAAGAGAGAAGCCATTGCTAAACATTAAAACCCATCGTGAAGATCTGCAACAAGTCGTCTGAGTATACTAATGTGTCAAAGGTGGTATTTTATTCAGATGAGTTTGAAGTTCGGCTTAATTCAACGCAATTTATTTTTATATAGCGCCTTTAACAACAGTTGCCCCAAGGTACTTCACATGGGTGTGTTTGTTGTGATACTTTCCGCCATCATTCATACAGAAGTTCTTGGTCTAAATGCCTGATGTCACTTTTAGTACAGACCCAATGCAGCATGTCTCCCGGACTGCACTTTCCCGCCAAATCCCTATGAGGAGACATCATTGTTCTACAGGAAAGGCGAAGTCAGCCCTACAGGGTTTGTACATAAGAAACTGAAATTCATAGGCTGTACTCGAGCAGCATGAGGGGAAGCATGTTTATTTTTATAGCATTTATTTAGGAGATGCTTTTATCTAAAGCAACATGCAAATGAACAAAGCTTGGTGCCAGAGAGCAGTGATAGGATTTGAACCGACAACCTGCCGGGTTGAATCTCTAAACTGCAGAGGTACATAGCAGATATCTAGTAGCAGTAATGGAGCAAAAATGACACATGCTATGGCACTGGAGACTTTGGATAAAGGCAGTCAAAGGTGTTTCTGGCAAACACTAAATTCATAAACTGATAGATAGATGACAGGATGAAGGACAAGTAACACATGGTTGGAATGGTTTGAATATGCATATAGTTGAGAAGTTAAATTGGGTGTCATTTAAACATTTGTAGTTAAATGATCCCCGGGTTTAAGAAGATTGTAAAGGTCTTAAATTATATTATGGTATATCCTGTCAGTTGTAGTGTGTGGTAAAAATGAACAAATTCATTAATACCCAGACAGTATGCCAAGCTGGTATG